AGCGCCAGGCAGGGGGCGCCAGGCGGGCAGCGCCAGGGCAAGAGGGCCAGAGCCAGCAGCGCCAGCAGGGCGACCAGGCCGAAGAGGGTGCCTACCCCGTACACATGGGCCTCCCAGGCCAGCCCCCAGCGAGCCCTGGCCTCTGCCCAGTCGGCCTCCAGGGTCAGGAAAAAGAGGGACAGCGGGGCTGCAGGAGGCTGCCCCTCGCCTTCAGGCAAATCTCCAGCGCTGCAGGGCCCTGGCCGGCACTCTGGCTGCACAGAAGGGTTTCCGAGGCTGGTAGGAGAGGGGTCATCTGGCCCGGAGGTGGGGATGGTGGCGTCTGTGGGCAAAGAACATCTGTCTGAAGCAGTTGTGCAGCCCTCCCCTGCCACTCCTGTTCTCCCCGCAGCCAGGAGCCTGTGTGCCCGTCAGAGTCCTCATGGCACCCAGGACACCCGTCTTAAATATGAGACTGGACCTCTCACCTTCCCCTCCCGCTCAAAGTCCTCGTGCAGTCGTTTCAGCTCTCATAGACCCCACCCCATCCCACCCCCAGCCACCTGCTTTGTGCTTTTCCCTTCCTCACTTGGTGATTCTACTGCAAAGGGTTTTTCTTAAGAAGTCCCAGAATTTGCCCTAGCCGGTTTGGCTCACTGGATAGAGCGTCGGGCTGGGAACTGAAGGGTCCCAGGTTCGATTCCGGTCAAGGGCATGTGCCTTGGTTGCAGGCACATTCCCAGTAGGAGGTGTGCAGGAGGCAGCTGATCGATGCTTCTCTCTCATTGACGTTTCTAACTCTCTATCCCTCTCTCTTCCTCTCTGTAAAAAATCAATAAAATATATTTTTTAAAAAAGAAGTCCCAGAATTTTACAACTGGAAGAGGGACGGTGGAAGCCCCCTCTAGTTCAATGCTCCCACCTGAAGGGCAGCTTCAGAAGAACAAGAAGTTTTGTTTGCTTTGCTCACATCTGAACCCCTGAGCCTAACATGGTGCCTGGCACAGAGTTAGCGTTGAGTAAATGATATCCCGGACAATATAGGACATACACGGAATAAATGGATCCTCTTACTTGCCAGGTGACGATACTAAGGCTCTGCTGAGAGGCAAAATGACTTGTCCAGGTCACAAATGACAGAGCTGCCCCTGGAATCCATATCTGAGCCCCAGCGGAGCCCCTTTCCAGAATTCCAGAGCCTCCTCCTGGTCCCAGTTGCTTATCTCTTGTTCTGCACCTCTGACTCCCTGCTCCCATCCTGGAGCTGGGAGAGGCTCCCCTGCCCTTTTTCAACTGCTTCCCTATCTCTTCAGGAAACGCCTCTACACAGACAGGCAGACAGACAGGCACACAGACACACTCTTGCGCCTACACACATATGCAGCAGGAGGAAAAGTGAGACATTCCTGTCCCCACCCAGCACCCTGAGGAGAATACCTTTCCTATCCATTTGCCTCCCTGCTTGCTACACCCCCACCCACAGCCTCCCCTTGCCTGTGATCCCCATCCTGTCTCAATCACAAAGTTATTGGTCTAAGGCTCTTAATATAGATGCCTCTTTAGTTCTAGCTCCATTTTCTAGAAGGTGGCATTGAGAACGGACTCCCTGGGGTCTTGAGGCTACCCTTGAACTCCTAGGAAGAAACGACTGGGGAGATCATAGTGGGTTAAAATGCTGAGTGAGTGAGCCCCGCAGGGATTGCTCTGGGGTTCCATAACTCGGGCTCCCAATCTCATCTTGTGCTCCAACACCCTCCCCACATCTTGAGAGAAAGGGAAGTCAAATAAGAGGTGAGGGGTAAGATCTGTATTTCTACTCTCCTGGAGCAATAGATGACTTAGAAAGAGTTAGATCCAAGGATTCTCCCCATGGCCAGGCAGCAAGGGAGGGTGCTGGAAGCGGAACCTCTCCCTTCTCCACCTACCAGGCTCAGCAGAGCTGCAGCCGCAGGCTAGGGCAGAGGGAGAAAGATGGTGGGGAAGGGTGGGGACAGCCTGATGCGGATGGGGAGGTGCACAGGTTGCAGCTGTAAAATGAGGGGGAGGGTCTCCTGGCAAACAGATTCCTGCCCCAACTGCCTGGCCTTGCCCAGCCATGCCCAGCACCCACGCCTCGGCTGCACAATCAGGAAGACCCCAGGAGCACCCCCACCGCAGGCTGTGCCAGCTCCTGCTGGGGACCTGCAAAACAGAGCAGTCCTGAGAACAAGGAAAAGGAGCTTTGGAAAGAGAGGACGGGAAGATAGAATCAGACAACTGTGGAGGGCAAAGAGGGAGCAGCCAAAATATTAAATCTCCACAGCTCACTGCCGACTGCAAAGGGCAGCATGTGCCCTGGTCCCTGTTCCGTCGCATTCACATATGAAACGGGGAAGAGTACCCACTGCATAGGCTGTTACGAGGGTAAATGGCTGATGTGTGCGAAGCTGTTTGGAGTGCCTGGAGCATAATAAGCATTCAATATGTGACTGTTGTTGGCGTCATCGTTATTGGCTAATGTCGATCACCAATCATCCGCTGGTGATGGTGTTAGTGTGAGCATTTCTGGCCTCAAACTAGTTCTCAATTTAACTAACAAAAGACTGTTGTCCCTCCGCACATCCTAAACTTGCTTAGAAAATCAACGATTATTCAAATGAGTGAACATCAAGACATTTGCACTTTGTAAACCCTGTTTGAAGAACACTGTTTGGATGGACTGACCATCCCTGGACACCTAATGAAGATATAGCTATGAGGAGTTAAAGACATAGCTGGAAAGGACAGCTTGGTGATGAGGGGTGGGCACCACATGCTCCCTCCCTCACCCTCATTCCTTGGGCCACTCAGATGCCCTTGCCCAACCCACTTCTTCTGCAAAGTGGATGAGTTTGCCTGGTCTTTCCTTGGCCACGGTGGGCTCTGCAGCAAGGCAGGAAGACCGTGCCCAGGAGCCCCATCAGCCTGCCACCCGCACGCCTCCTCCTGGCTCACTGTACAGACAAGTGCAGCTCTCAGAGGTCTGCGCACCCGAGGGCCATGGGAAACCCCATCTCTCACCTCTGTCCCAAAGCACTGTGGCAACTAGAGCAAGTTTCAACATTCCTAAGAAGCCAGAAAAGGAATAAAAACCAGAAAATAGGCAAAGTACAGGCACGGCTCAGGTGTCAAAGGAGGGAGTTCTAAGTAGATGCACTGCTCCCAGGGGGCACGGCATGCCCGATGTACCCAGCACTGGGCCACGTGCGTGGGGGCAGGTGAAGAAGACCCAGCTTCTGCCTAAAGGGTCTACTTGACCTCAGCCCACGTCTCACCTTTTGCAGCTTCCCCAGAGGAGCCCTCAGTTTCCCCCAGAAGCGAGTGACTTCCTAGGATCCCTCTCCTGAGCAGGCCTCCCTTACAAGATGGTCCCACTCTGGCCCTGCAGCCTCTCTTGACCTCAGGGACGAGGGAGGAGATGGGATGTCAATGTGAGTAATTGGTGAGGCTGAGCTAGCTGGGGAGGAGCCCAGAGAGAAGACCGCTGGATTTATGGAGAAGTCAGGCCTGATTATCCACCAGCTGCCCAGATCAAAGGGCAGGCTCCACTGTGGATGCTGGAATCGGCAGCCTGTTCAATGTCCTGGCCGCATCCCTCTCCCCGCCCCCACCTCCAGGGCTATGGAGGATTGATACTTTTTGTGAGAGTGACATTTGAAATATTTAACAACTGGAAATGGCACAGGTGCCAGCCAGGGTGGTCAGGGAGTGGAGGGGAGTGCTCGGGGGCTAAGGTCAGTGGGTACTTACCAAATGAAATAAAAGCTTTTCACAACCTAAGCAGCTGTTTCTGTGTGTACTGGCTGAATACAAGCTCTGGCCTAGGTGAAGGGGCCTAATGCAAGGCAACAGAAGCCCTGGGGTCAAAGGTTAACTGCACCTAAGGTAGAGGTCCTAGAGGAGACAAAGAGACTCCCTTTGTCCCCTGATTGACACCACTCCCCACACACACCGCTGGTTCAATAGGCCCCTTGGCCTTCTCTACGAGGGGACTGTAGCTCTCTTGGGTTTGTCCAAGAGGAATATTCAGGAAGAGGCTGGGTTCCTGCAGCCATCAGTGAGGAGGAGGATGGAGGGTGGGGCTGGTGCGCTGGGCCGCCTCTGATACTGTCCAGACTCATTAAACCTGCCTGGCAGCGCTGCTATCACCAATGCTGAGAGACCGCCAGGCAGCATCCTTCCCCTGAGGCCACAGAGCCTGCCCCCAACCTCATAGCAGGTCCTGGGCAGCCTCCTGACCCACATGCCCCGGAGTGCAGTGAGCAGCAGGAGTGAGCCAGAGTTGGCTGTGTTGAGTCTGGAGCTGCAGGAAGCTGGGCGACCGGTGGTTTCCAGAAGCTGAGCTGGTTCCTAGTGTGGGGTGGCTGAGAGGTTTCACAGCTACAGTAAGCCCTTTGCAGAGCAAAGCTGGGCCTGGAGGTCCCTCTCCATGGCTCCCTCGGCCTCACCCACCAGAACCTCTCCCCAGACAGTGTGCCTTCTGCCTTGTGGGTTATGTGCTTTCCTATCACGTCTTGGGGCCAGTGTCTGCAGTCTCTCAGAGGAAGGGTCGGGAAGTGTATTTGCAATGAGTCGGGGAAGAAGCAAGGTTAACAGCTACGATTTAATGAGCTTTTACTTTGTGCCCATCCTCATGCCAGGAGCTTACATTATCTAGAAACTCACAATAACAGAATAGGTACTATTATTAAACCCTAGATATCTGAGAACATTTAGGCTCAGGGACACGAAATAACTTGCCCTACGGTCACCCAGCCAGTTAGTTAGTAACTGGGATGCAAAGCCAAGGCTCAAGATTCCGGAGCCCCTGGTCTTTCCTCCGCACCAGCGGCTTGTCTGCATGTTTTCTTGAACAAGGATGGCACCTGTCTGCTCAAGATCTTCCTGATGAGGGGCCCAGCCCTGCCCATATCTGACAGCATGTCACGTCAGATCAGGCAGCAGAGGAGAGAGCCCCAAGTTTGGGGTTGGGATGGGGAGTCAGGCCAGACAGCCTGGAGTGGAGGGTGGGGTTGGCACTGAGGCTGTGGAATTCATGAGGGAGTTCCTGTGTCTGTTTGCCCCTGATAATTTGTCTACATCCTGCTCTGCCTGTGATTGCAAAACTCCCATAGGACCATTACTTAACTCTGTGTGGGACTGGCCCCGGCAACACTTGTTCCCAAACCATTAATATGTATCTCCATGGTGATGATGAAGAGAATGGTGATTATGATTATAATGACAATGAAACAAAAGGGTCCCGGGACACCAATTAGCAGCTGGCCTGTAGTACGTGCTCAATAAATAACTGTCAAGTTCAAATGAATAGGACACTTACCTAGTGATGTTGTTGCAATGGAGGCAGCGCTCAGGGAAGCAGTTGGGTCTAGTGGGCCTGGGCTTGGGAGCTTTCTCTCCAGGGAGGATGGGGGTGGGGACAGAGTGGTGCCAAAGAACCCTGCAAAGGGAGCACGCGGGGTTTGAGTGCCATCTTACCAGTCTTGGCCTCTGGGCTGTTGGTGAAAAGCCGGTCTTTCCCCAGAACTTGCCCTCAGAGAGCCACCGTCTCAGGAATGATAGCCACATGTCCACCAGGAGCTATGCTCCATGGACCAAACCAAACTCAATAGGGCAAAGAGGGAATCTCCTCCTGGGAGCAGTGGCCCACGTCCCAGGGCCAGCAGACCTCCCCTTGAGTCAAGGAAGAAAGGGCAGGGCATGCGACATAGGCCTCTGGGACAGTGCCTGGCATGCAGAGGTAGTCTGTCAATGTTCATTGCAATGAAGTAAACCAGTGCTTCTCAACCTTCCTAATGCCGCGACCCTTTAATACAGTTCCTCATGTTGTGGTGACCCCCAATTTCATTGTTACAAACTGAACATCATTAAAGCATAGTGATTAATCACAAAAACAATATGTAATTATACATATGTTTTCCGATGGTCTTAGGCCACCCCTGTGAAAGGGTCGTTCAACCCCCAAAGGGGTCGCGACCCACAGGTTGAGAACCACTGGACTAAACACTCACCGGGCGAATCCGAGACTCTGGAGGCAGAGCTTGGGGATGCGGTTGGGCCTGGGGGGTTCACGCCGGAGAAGTTCCGGAGTGGGGACAGAGTAGTGCCAAAGAACCCTGCAAAAGGAGCCTGGCTGAAACTTCCTCTTGCCTGCCAGGCAGCCCAGCAGGGGCTCTCTTCAGGGCGGAGTGGGTACTCACCAAACGGTCCCAGGCGCCCAGCAATCTCTGCCAGGCTGGCCCGCAGGCTGGGCAGCAGGGGCAGAGTTCGATGCCCGAGCGTGGGGGCGGCGCCTGCTCTCAGTGCCATGTCAAACTTCAGTTCCAGCTCAGTCTGGTGGGGCCTGGGGGCACTGGAGGGAGGGGCTGTAGCCATCAGAGTCGTGTCCCAGGTCACCGTCCCCATCCTGGGCTGATGGGGAGCCTTCGGCTGGTGGGTGGGCCCAGAGAGCGGGGATGTGGATTCTAGAGGCGGGGAGGAGGCCCAGGGCGTAGCACTGCCTTCAGCAGAACCCCACTCTGGGGAGTAATTCCCCAGGGAGCCCACCAGCAGTTCCCAAAGCGGGTCAGTCCTCAGTCCACTGGCCACCTCTTCCTCCAGCTCCTGGCTCGGTCCAGGAGACAGTGGGTGGGTCTCGGTGACAGGGCTCCCCCAGGCCGCAGCAGGTCCCCGAAGGTGGAATTTGAAGTTAAGTCCCAGATTGAGAGACAGCATAGAGGCCTCACCCTGAGGGGGTGGGGTCAAAGTAGTGAGAGGGGCGCCTGGGATAGAGGAAGCAGGCTGGGGGCCCACAGGAACAGCGAGGAGGACCCAGCAGAACAGCCCCAGCCCCAGACAGCCATGCCCTGCCATGGCCCCACTTGGTCTCAGGTAGCCTCAGTGGTGAGGGACTCCGTTCTTCAGCACCTTTTGAGCACGAAGGTCCTGGAGAAAGGAGAGGCACCATGAGCCCTGGCTGCCTGGGGTGAATGGCCCCAGAGAGAGGCTTTTGATCACAGAGAAGCAGGTGGAGGGGGCAGGATGCAAAGGGTTCTGCCCAGCAGAGTGCCAGCTCCTTCCTCCTCTCAGGGCCCAGCACAAATCTCTCCCCCTCAGTTTCCCTGAGGCTTCCTCTCCCTGAACCCCTGCCTCCCCAACCTGCTCAATTTGGGGTGAGACCACAACCAGCCTCTCTCATCCCCAACTGAGAGTAGATGGGATGGACTTGACTCCCAGACTCAGATCCCTTCCCATCCTCTCTTCTATCCTCCCTTCCAACCTCAAATATTAATTGAGGCTACTGTGTGCCCAGCACCCTTCTGGTAATACAACTGTGAGCCAGTGAACCCTCACAGATGAGTCTCAACCTAGGCCCACCCCCACAACCTCTTAGGTTGGCCCTGCACCACTCAGACCCGGGAGTACAGGGCCCTGGGAGGGGCAAGGCCGGCTGGGTGATCTGGCAGAGATGGAGAAGGCAGCCAAGCTCCCGGCCGGCAGGCAGAAGCTCTGTCCCTTCAGCCTTTCCCCTCTTTCCTGGGGCTTGGCCTGCTCCCTTCCCCTTAACCCTCGGAGTATCTGGGGGAGGGGCCGCTTGGCCATCTCTGGTTCCTGGGGAAGATGGCCAGGCAGGCAAGCTGGGCAAGGCGCTGCTGCAGGAGGCTCCTACCCCCTCCCCAGGCACCCTCCCTGCACGCACATCTGACGGGGAAGGGGAGGCTGAGCCAGGGACACATGTGCACCCGGCACCCTTACTTCACACCAGCCACACCTAGCACCCATGACACACTCACCCCCTCACCCTTCACACAGCCTTGCACACAAGTGCGCTCACACACACCCTCAGTCCTGCCCAGCACCCTCCCTCCTACATGGGCTCATGTGAGCTCTCAGCGCCCCCCCCCCACACACACCCCTACCTCACAGACACACACAGTATACAGTCACACTGAGAGATGCACACCCCTACACACATTCACATACTCCCTACAGACACACACCACACATCATCCCCGCCACACACACCCTTGAGCATCCTTATAACCATTGTTTTGAACTCTATACAGGCAGTCCTTGGGTTATGTTGGACTCGGCGTATGTCGTTTTGTGGTTATGTGCACACACTCCCCCTGCACGGACTGGCCGACCTGCTCCTCTCGCTCCCTCCCGGAGGCGTCTCCTCTGCCAAGTCCCGGAGAAGGGAGGTCGCGGCCCCGCCCCCCGGC